TTGGCTTGGGAAGAGTATGACCTAATCCTACCTGATAAGGGATACCATTGTTTAATACTCTATGTAGACAGTAGGTCAAATATAAGGAAACATGCATTGTATCATGGTAGATTCTAGATCTATGCTGTGAACAAAAGTCTACTTGGAGACTGGAGAGAGATTAATTGATGTTGAAAGGAGAATACTTAAAATGATACATAATTTCTGGATTTTTTTGATGACAGTATTATTGGATTTTGTTCTCAAGTGCTTTTAATAATTATTGCACATACGGTTTCAGAAAACACTAGAGGTAGCGTTTACACAAAAACAAACAGAAAACCCCAAACAAACCCAAAACAAAAGTAGCTGAAAAAATCAACCACAAACAGTTGCAGATTATATACTATATTGTATCAGAATAATTCCTTCACGTCCTATGATTTTTAATATTATTAAATATATTGGCTAGTCACTTTGACAAAGTTAGCTCATAAATGTGACTTTTAATGTTCTCATATTAACATTATTGGAAAAATTTTGATAAATGAAAAATTAAAAAAAATTTTATTACTGTAGACTTTTTTTAGTATTGATTCTAATAAAGTATTCATAAATTTAGTGAAATAAATGACACACACTTAAAAAGTTAAAAAACTTTTTTTTTTTTTTAAGAGCACAAGTAGGGGAGAGGGGCATAGGGAGAGAGTGACAGTTTTTTTGTGTGTTTGTTTATTTTGAGACAGAGAACGTGAGCAGAGGAGGGGCAGAGAGAAAGAGAGGGAGAGAGAGAATCCCAAGCAGGCTCCATGCTGTCCACACAGAGCCAGATGCAGGGCTCGAACTCACAAACTGTGAGATCATGACCTGAGCTGAAATACAGTCAGACACTCAACTGACTGAGCCACCCAGGTGCCCCTGAGAGAGAGAGACAGAGAGAGAGACAGAGAGAGAGAGAGAGAGAGAGAGAGAGAGAGAGAGAATATGTTAAGCAGGCTGCATGCTAGGTGTGGAGCCTGAGGTGGGGCTTGATCCCCTAGGATCATGACCTGAGCCGAAATCAAGGGTTGGACGCTCAACCAACTGAGCCACCCAGGTGCCCCAATAAACTTTTTTTTTTGAGCAGTTTCAGTTTTACAGAAAAACTGAGCAGAAACTACAGAGTTCCCATATATCTATTTATTCTTTGAAGGATATAAATTTTTTTCCCAAGGTATTCCACTATATACAATGTTATACACATAACAACTTTACATCTCTGAACCGAGTACGTACTATAAGAGGAAAACCATACACTGCTAAAAATCATTTTACTCTAACCTAAGGTTTCTCATCAGCACTATTAACATTTCAGGCCAGATAATTTTGGGGGCGGGGGGTGTCTCTTCTGTGCATTGTGTATATTAGCAGCATCCCTGATCTTTACCCATTAGATGCCAATAATACCAGTCGTGACCACCAAAAATGTATCCAAACATTGCCAATGTTCCTTGAGAGGCACATTGTTCTCCAGTTGAGAACCACTGCTCTAACCAATTTGTGATATTTTAGGATTTGCTGTATTTTTTTAGGTGGGGGTCAGATTTAAGGGGCCTTTATTAGTTCAAGCAGTTGTGTAGAGAGAGTTAGAATCTTCCCTTCCACTTGGGGGCATAGGCAGTATAATAGTTTTACTGAGCTTCAGTTTCCTTAACTGTGAATAGGTAAAATATTACCTAACTGAAAGGTTGTTTCGATAGTTGATTGAGATACATTATATAAAAAACTTTGGTTAATTTTAAATGTTATGCTATCTTGTTTGAGTTTATTCTTTGGCATGTATAGAAAACCCATTTCAGAGTTCTTATTTCTGTGGGCAAGGCTATCATAGTTTGGGATCTTCTATTTATGGACTTCAAGAGTATTATTACCGTGGGTAGACGAAAACTTTAAATGTTCAGCGAAAACTCATTTATGAGGTCAGTTGTGTTTTGACTCTTTGTGGTGCTCTAATTAGATTGTCACTGTATTCAAATGTAGTAGTTAAGTGATCTCCTGTATTCTTTCAACGACTTTGAGCTTCTCAAATTGAGGATAGCCAATCACATTGTCCTTCAAAGTTTTTGTCCTCATATCTGAAATCCTGCCAATTGTGACAGCTGGTGTGTCAGCTCCAATAGAGGAAGCTAGCCTCTGTCAGCATGTACTTGGTCCACTAAAGACTTCTAAAAACTTTGCACAGTTTACAACAAATGTCCACTTCTCATTGCTACTTTGTAGAATTATAAAACCTTGTTCATTAGTGATGAAATCTTATCTGTAATAATTAAGCTTATTCTTATTGTTCTACCTCTGCAGAAAATTTGCAAAGACTTTGAGAAGACAGGAAAATTATCAGAAAGACAGCGCCATTATACTGTAAGTATTGCTTTGAAAAACAAATGTAAGTTAAGAATATTTTAAGTATCCAGTTGTTCCAGGGGAAAATATGTTAGGCAAAGATATTATATGTAAAATATAGAGCAGGATATATTATAATCTTATTAATAATTTATAAGAACTAATCCAATGCAGTCTTTTAAAAATTGAAAATGTGTTTTTATGTATTCAGATGAGGATTTTACCAATACCATTGAAAAATATTTCTAATTCTAACAAGGATTGATCTAGTTTATGTACATTTGCTTATTTAAAACTATCAGAATCCAGAAAATCATTGTAGTTTTGTAGGCTTGTGATTTGTTTGGGTGACTTATTGTTTAGGTTATTTTGCAGAATTATTTATTTGCTGATTTATTTATGTATTTCATTATTTATTTATTTGATTATTTAGTAAATTATTTATCTGATGAATTATTAATACATCTTCATGACATGCTTTAAATTATTTATAACTTAATTTTGAGTTTATTGCTTTTAGAGGCTGCATTGTTACTGACTAGTTTTGATTTTTTTCTTTGCGGTTCTTTAAAATTAAAGTATTAGCTCTAAGGCAAAAGTGTATTCATTGCAATGGCCATGGGTTTTTCTTTCTTTCTTTTTTTTTTTTTTTTTAAGTAATTTATGGTAGAGATGAAATTCCAGTTATGCTTTGTTTTGTGTTGTGTACATACTCATTGTAGAGTCACTTACAAATTAATGATATAGCCTATAGTATGTAAACTGAGATTGAACATGTAAACCTCAGTCCACATTATCCTTTGTATCTCTAAAGGACAGGTCTGCATTTCTTACTTGCTTTAGAATCATGAATAGAGTCTTATTTTAGTGGCAAATCTATTTTACTACTGGGATATTTTTAGGAAAGTTCAGAGAAATGAAGTCCAACTTAGATTTGAATCCCTGAGATATAAAATTGACTGATGAAGCCTTTGTTTTTTTAAGTTATCATTATATGTATATTTGGCAAACTGCATGATGTTGGTATAGATTTTTATATCAGTCATAATGACATATTTATTTCATATCATATCTCTTAATGGAAAGTTTTATACCACTTTATTTTAATGAACTAAAATGGACAAGGGCCTTTATAAATGCAAGCTATAATTTCTCTGACTTGAGCTAATAATTCTCTTTTGTAAAGTTTCTATTTTTAACCAGATAAGGTATTTCTTCTTTTGTCTGATTCTATTTCATAAGGTAGTGCAGTTATTAGGGCTCTCTTATTGAATAGGTTTAATGAATAGGTTAAGTAGTTGTTTGGGTAAAACAGTGTTGTGTGCAGAACTAGGTCTTCTGTGTTTGCTTGTAGTGAACTACTGTGTACTTTACAATTTTAACATTTCAGAGAGAGGCAGCATTGTACAATTCAAGTTAGAATTTCTTATTTTGAAATATTGAGTATATGAATGTTTAATTGGAATATTGCCTTAGTATCTTCATATACTTGTCTTAAAGGAAGTGGTTTCATTTGATTTCTATACATGGATTTAAAAATGTGAGGCGCCTGGGTGGCTCAGTCGGTTGAGCGGCCGACTTCGGCTCAGGTCACAATCTCAAGGTTTGTGAGTTTGAGCCCCGCATCGGGCTCTGTGCTGACAGCTTGGAGCCTGGAGCCTGCTTCGGATTCTGTGTCTCCGTCTCTGCCCCTCCCCAACTCATGCTCTGTCTCTCTCTGTCTCAGAAATAAATAAACATTTAAAAAAAAATTTAAAAAAATGTGCGTATTATACATATCCGTGACTTCTGTTTTGGAGATGAACAACCACAAACACTGTCAGATACGGAATTTTATTTCAAAATGCACTTCAGTATGCCACTGTGGACTTCTTTTGAAGAAGAAAGCCATCTTCTCCAATGTTGAATAAGATCTACTATGTGAGTTGTCATGACAGTATTCCCAGCCACACTGTTAATACTTATTTGTGGAGTATTAGCTGTGTTACCAAGTGGTCTTCATTGGAAAATAAACATGTGTGTGCACACACATGCACACACATGGGAAGTTTTCTCCTGACATCAAAATAATTTTTTAGGATTTGTTTTTAGAAGGAGACATTAATGGAGATTGTCATAATAATAGCTAGCATTTATTGAGCACTTATGTGCAGGTACGGTGCTTCTATCTTTTACATGGATTTTTTGTTTTTCACAGTGAGATGAGTACAGTTATTGTCTTCATTTTATGAATGAGGAAACAGAGACTTGGAGGTGTCAAGTAACTTGCTCATTGCCACCTACCTGGCAATAAGTGTTGGTGCTGGGATTAGGACTCACTGAGTCTGACTCTTCAGGGTCTTTCTTAGCCCATTACAGTTTGCTTGTATAGTTGGTATTAAGCAGTTTTTTTTGTGGCGTGTGGTTTTTTTTTTTTTT